AAAAATAATAAAATAATTAAAAAGAATAAATAACTATAAGGCATGTGTGGTTATCCACACCTGAAATCTCAGCACTTGGGAGGTTGAGGTAGTTGGATTGTGAGTGCACAACCAGTCCTCTAAGAAAACAAAAGAAAAATAAGGACTGCCAAGATGGCTCAGGGGGTAAAGAGCCTACCATGCAAGCCTGATGACCTGTGTTCAATCCTTGAAACCCATGTGAACATGGAAGGAGAGAACCAATTCCCAATTCCATAAAGCGGTCTTCTCACCTCCACATACACACTGCGGTGTGCACACATCTACATACATACATCATACAATAAAAATAAATTAATTTAAACAAAGCAAGCAGTAAGAACAATGAGAAAGGACTGAAAACCAAAACCTAAACCAAACACAACAGTAACAAACCTTTAATATCATTATCCTATCTAAAAAAGTAGATGGTTAATAATATCACCTATCCAATGTTCATGTTTCTGTGATTGTCTTATTTAAATTTCCTGCACCTGATCAGATCCCATGAACTAAACTATCTAACACGAAAGGTCTGAAAGTCACCTGTTTTATACTGTTTTAATATTGCTATGTTAAAGTGCACTACCACGGATGTATATGTCCAGCCCCTCCTTTTGTCTTCTTTAAATAATACTGAATATATTCTATACTTTCTTGATCACTTTTTAAGAACAGGGCTTTTTGGAGGGGACTGAGGAGCAAATTCCTATACACAGGAGAGCCAAGTGAGTTTTTCCTCTCCCAAGTCGCTAATCACTGTCTATGCACTTTTCAGACCGTTCCCTAATTCTGAATTGGTGTTCACGTTGGAGTGAGCAAAAGTGCTTATATTGTTTCTGTTATGGCTGCAAAAATTTTAGTATAGAGTAAATAAATGTTTCTTTGGGTTTCTGATACACATCTTAATGATATTCAGCATTTTATTGTTCTTTATTTCCTGAATTTAGCTTTTTTTGTGGTGCTAAGGATTAAACAGAGGAACCCATACATACTAGACAAGTACTCTACGAGTTAACTACATCCCTAGACTTTTTTCTCTGAATTAAGAATTTAATTGAGCCTGGTGTGGTGGTGCACGCCTTTAATCCCAGCACTTGGGAGGCAGAGGCAGGCGGATCTTTATGAGTTCGAGGCCAGCCTGGTCTACAATGTGGTTTCCGGGGCAGCTGGGGCTAAAAGGGGCCCCTTTCCCAAAAAAAAAAAAAAAAAAAAAAAAAAAGAATTGAATTGAGCTGATCTTTTTCTGAGATCCTGATTAGGATCTTTTTAAAAATTCGTATTATACTTTGAACTTTTAGTCCATTGCTTTGTTCTAGATCTGAAATCAAAACATAGTTTATGTTTGTCTCATTTACACATTGGTGAGAACATCCTGTATTCTAGCTTGCTTATCTTGATCTTTAATAGAATAATTTGTAGCTGTGGAGAAAAGATTGTTCCTTTCTTCCTCTGCATTATTTATAACTGTTGAGTAACTACCACTTTGTTTGGAGTAGTGGTGATTATAAAGTAACCTGGAATTTCAAAAGTCTTTTGAATGAAAATTTCATTTGCAACCAGCCAGTCTTTTAAAAGAGAGGGCATGTTTTGTACAAAATCCCTCCTCCTTTTTTCCTTCTTTTCCTTCATTAATCTTTGATATATGTCATTTAATCTTAGTGATTTATCAGCATTCATTTCTTAAGTTTGGATTGAATAATTCTGAGTATTGACTTTAATTTAACAAATTACCAATATGTCATTTCAGTGATAACATCAAAGTGCTAAAATCTATAAAAATCCTCATGGTGACATGAGGCAAAAAAATTATGTGATATGTTAGAGCTCTATTTATTCACAGTAATCTATGAATTCATTATTTTCCCCTTAGATTCCTACATTTTGTGTGTTCTTGATTATTTCATTTTTAGGGTGCAAAATGTAGTTAAGAGAGTAACATTTGTTACATAACTTACACATTGAGAATAGTTCCTGCACAGAATAATTGCTCAATCTACACTTATTGAATGAATGAGTGAATGCCTG